CGGCCCGTGGCTCACTTGGGAGAGTGCGGTGCTGAGAACACCAAGGCCAAGGGTTCGGATCCCATATAGGGATGGCCGGTTAGCTCACTGGGTGAGTGTGGTGCTGACAACACCAAGTCAAGGGTTAAGATCCCCTTACCGGTTATCTTTTTTTAAAAAAAAAAAAGAGTAACTCCCCCTGAAGCATTTCCTTCTCTGGAAGCAATGTCACTTTACACATGTGCAGTGCTTTGGAATTCATAAAGTGTTCTTACATGTGCTATCTCGCTTGAACTTTATAAACTCAGGAGGCAGATAGAATGAGGGTTATTATTATCACTTTATAAATAAAAGTGAGCAGAGAGAAGGGACTAAGGTCACAGGGCTGTGGAATGGTGGAACTGGGAATCGTCTTCTCACTCCAAGCTCAACGCTGCTTCCATTGTGCCCCTCTGATCTTTAATAATTGGTTAAGCAACTGTTTGCTTGGACTGACCGAGGTTAAGGATCCTCAAGGCCATCTGCTAACCCCCTCATTTGCTCAACTTCATTTCCCATGTGTCCCCTTCATGAATAATTTGCTTCAGCAGCAATTCTTTCTGTCCTGCCCCACACTTGATCACTTTCTTCCACATGCCATATCCTTGGTCTGTGACTAACCCATGTTTCCTCTTTACCCCAATACCCAGCTCACAGTTTGCAGCCTTCCAAAACCAGACAGCCTTCTAGGACTGGATGCACCTGCTGGGGGTGATGCCCTCACTCACCAGCCCCTCAGACTTAGAGTGGCACTACCCTACCTTGCAATTGACGACAGGCAGCTCGGAAAGAGGGTTCTTCGGGAGTTGGTGCAGCTGTGACCTTGGTTCCCCCGGCAAGACAAAAAGCTCCTTGAGGGCAGGGGCTGGGTCTTCCAGTTCTCTGGTCTCCCCAAGACAGGGCTCTGCCCACAGTGGGCGATCAAAGCTGCTGATTGCCTGACAGGGGGATGGACTGGATGACCTCTGAGGTCATACTCAGCCCCCTGACTCTGCTATACAACAATGATACCTGCTGCAGCCACTCCATGGTCCTTGCTTCCCCAACAAGCCATGCTCTGTTGTGCCTCTGAGCCTTTGCACATGCTTCTGTCTGAAATGACATTTCCCTCCTCTACCTGGAAAACTGCTATTAATCTTCTAAGGACACAGTTCATTTGTCACCTTCTTTGTGAGGCATTCCTTGCTTGATTCCCCAGACAGAATTAATATCTCCCTTGTTGATGTTTCTACAGCATTTGTTTAACAAATATTTGTTGGGAGCCAGCTATGCTGTGCTAGGCAACAGGAAAACAGATTAATCAGACAATTCTGCTCTCAAGAATCTCACAGTCTAGTGGGGAGACCTCTAAGTAAATGACAACTGGATTATACGAGGGTATTTCCAAAAGTTCATGGAAAGATTTGTATTATCTTTTAATTCTATTTTTCCACGAACTTTTTTAGTGAGACAGGTGTTTTGATGCACAGAGGCCCGAGGCCCAGGGGACTGTGGGAGAACAAAGAAAGCCAGGGAAAGCTTCCTAGAAGGGACTCCTGAGCTTCCACCATGGCACTTAGTACACAGTTGTACAACTGCATGTTACTATCTCTAACTCCCCCACCAGCTCCTTGGAAGCAAGTGCATTCCTTATTTACTTTTAAACACTTGATATCTAATGTGGTGCTTGGCACATAACTGGCACACAGTGTTTGTTGAAATGAATACACTTTAATTAAATATCCACAGTTAACCTTCCAGAGCAAAGATTCTGAAAACTCAGCAGAAAGAAAGACATTTGGCTTCTTCACTGCCAGGAAGAGCTCTAGGGAAAAGGTGGTCCTGATACCCTTCTACCCCGATCACCTGCCCTAGCATTTCTGTGTCCCCCAGGGCCTAGAACAGTGCCTAGTACATGGAAGGTAAATGTTTGAGGAAGGAAGGAAAGGAAGGGAAGGGAAGGAAGAAGGACGGAAAGGTCGGAATTCTCTCAGTAAAGAATACTTACTGCAGGATACACATGGCCAATCTGAGCATTCCTCCCTATATGGAGTTCATCTTCATCCTCTTCTTCTGTTGTTTTCCTGTACACTGGGTTGTCAAAATTCATGCTCTTGGTGTTCTTCCTCTTCCAGTTTCTCCAGATCAGGTAGCCACTCATGCACAGCAGGGCAATTACCGCTGGAGGAAGGGACACATTACACTGGATCTCCAGCAGGCTCTAACCCCAGATATCAGTGCATATCTTGCCACCTCTCCAACTTTACTGCCCCTTGCTCCTCAGGCTCTGTTTCTGCGTGTTCTTTTTCTGCTGCTTAGAAGTCCTTCTCCCATCTCGTTTCCTTCACTGACTACTAATCCTTTGAGATCCAGCTCAAATGTGAAGTCTTCCCCAAGGGCTCTAGGCAAAGTTGGCTGCTCCCTCATGTGTGCTCCCAGGCCACAGTATCTTACTTTATATATCTGTACTCCATCTACACCAAACCCTTTGAGGGCAGAGACTGTGTCATTTATCTCTCTATGCCCAGAGCCTAGCACTAAGTAGGTGCTCAGTAACATGTACTGAATGAATGAGTGAATTTGTTCATAACACCTTTGTCCTAATGCTGCTGCTTCCCTGGATTTCTGTAAGAAAACCATTCTTTCCTAAAATTGGAGGGTAGAGGGTGGGATGGGGTAGGGTGTTTCTTTCTAAAGCTGGGGCTCCACCAGAAGACGAGCATCTGTAGAAGGGGACACAGCAGGGCAACACAGGCTCTGAGTTAGAATAAATGAATATATTAACGAGCAAAGGAGGAAGCTCTTTCAACAGAGCTCAGCGAAAATGGGGCAAGCAGCTTCATAAGGTAGTCAGCAATCACTGAGCATTCAAGTGGAGGCTGGATAATCACTTATCTGGGATGTTCTAGAGGGGGTTTCTGTTTTAGTAAGATTACAATAATCAATATTCATTAAAGACAAGACAAAGCAAGGATGCCTGTTATCACTGCTACTATTTATTGTCCTAGAGATCTAGCTATGCAGTGAGACTAGATAAAAAAATTGAAGGGTATAAATATGGGAAAGGAAGAAACCAGATTGTTGTTATTATCAGCTATTTGTATGTTTAGAAAATCTTAGAAAAGCAGGTGAAAGACTATTAGAAATAATTTTAGTTCATCAAGAATCCACATAAAAAATCAATAGCTTTCTTTTAAATCAGCAATAACAAATTAGAAAATGTAATGGAATTAAAACACGTTATTAATAGCTCAACAAAAAAAATATAAAATACCTGAGAATAACCTAATAGGAAGCATGCAAATCCTATGTGATCTATAAAGTTCTAGAGAAGGACATAAAAGAAGACTGAAATGGGCCAAGCCCGTGGCGCACTCGGGAGAGTGCGGCGCTGGGAGCGCAGCAGCGCTCCTGCCGCGGGTTCAGATCCCATATAGGGATGACCGGTGTGCTCACAGCGCTCACTGGCTGAGCGCGGTGCGGCTGGTCTCAAAAAGGACAATAAATAAATAAATAAATAAATAAATAAATAAATAAATAAATAAATAAATAAAAGAAGACTGAAATAAATAGATATGTCATGTTCCTGGATGGGAAGCTTCAATATGGTAAAAATGTAAATGCTCCCCACATAAATGTATACATCCAAAGCAATCTCAACAAAAACCATCATAATTATTATAGAATTGACAAGATTATTCTAAAGTTCACCTGGAAGAGAAACTGAATAAAAATAGCTGAGAACATGTTGTGAGCATAACATCACCAAGTTGGACTGCTAGTATATAAGAATAGACAGATAATTGTGGTGGAGAATAAACAGCCTAGAAGCAGATCAAAGTATGCATGGCATGTAGTTTATAATAAAGATGACAATACAAGTCAGAAGGAGAGGATGGACTATTCAATAACAGTTTGGGGGAAACCAGACAGGTATGTAGTAAAAAAAATAGTTAAATCTCTACCTCATACCGTACTCTAAGATAAATTTCAAATGGATTAATATCTAAATACTAAAACAAATTTATAGTAGAAGAAAATATAGAGAGATATTTTAATAATTTAGAATGAGGAAGGCCTTCCTAAGCAAGACACAAAATCCAGAAATCATAAAGCAAAAGATTGGTAGAACTACTACTTAAAAAATTTAAATTTATGCATGGCAAAAGATACCATAAACAAATTTTAAAATCAAGTATCAGACTGGGAGAAAATATTTGTAACATATATTATAAAGGTTCACTATTCATTATGTATAAATATTTATAAGTATAAGAATAAGACAACCAATAGAAAAACAAGAAAAGACTGAAAAAGCAATCCATAAAGGATGACATGTAAATAAATGGTCAATAAGCTTATGAAAAGAAACTATCTCACAAGGCAATATCAGGACGATAACATTCATCTTTCACCTCTCAGATTAGCAGAAATTAAAACTATAGATTATTTCAGGGTGGGTTGTATCAGTGAAACAGAACATACATGCCTCTTTCTAAGGAGCATAGGATGGAAGGAAAGGGATCAATTTGTCTTTCACTCACATCATTCAAAATAAGCCTGTAATAATAGCCTGATCATCATTTCTTCTTAAGTCTTAAGGCCAATTCAAATCTCCAGATACACCACCCTTGCTCTGGAATTAACTTCTCCTTCCGCTATTCCTCTACAGGAATGTCGTGCTACTATTATATCTCTGTATCACATTTCTATTATAGCACATTATAATATGTATTATGATCTACTTTGTATGATTTATTTATGATTAAGTCTGATTAAAGACTGAAACTCTTAAAGTCCTTATCTTTTTCTTCCCTGGATCCTTGGCACTGGGAGTGTCTCCAAAAGGGGAGAAATTTTTATAACATTCACTAACTCACCACCATATTGAGGATTCCCAGGATAAAAGGACAAAGCTCCTGTTCTTGAGATACTTGTGGGCAAGTAAGGGAGATAAGCCTATGAATGGACAACCGAAATTCAAAGATAATGCCAAGAGGGAGAGACAGGGTGTACAGAATACTATGAGAATATCAAGGTGGGAGAAAATGAATCAGCCCCTATGGTTCTCTGTGAGGTCTTAGCCAAATGTTATATTCTGGTCCTACCAAACTCCTTCGAGTTCCAAACCCACACCCACCCCACCCCTCCATGCCATTTCCCATTCCTTGGCTTTGCTCATGCTGTCTTCACTGCTTAGATTGCTCTTGATCCTTCCTCACTTGGCTGACTCAGCTCAAACATCCTTTCCACTAGGAAACATTCCCTGCCCTCTTCCCCTCTCTCCCAGTCTAAGTGCTTCATTGGCATTTTCACTGAACTTAGTGCATACAGCTTAATCTAGGACTTACCATGTCATAATGAATGTACCTGTGTTATGTGTGTCTCTCCAACAAGACAGTAAACTTTTGTAGGACAGGACCATGTCTTATCTTTAACTACCTTCTTTCCCCTTATCACAGTTTGGCACATAGCAGCTGCTTGATAAATGTTTATTGAAAACCAAACAGAAAGAAAGCAAGACAGCATGACCTATTAAAGGAATGGCAAGCAGCTCTACTCATTAATTCAATGAATATGAGGCTACTTCAAAAAGTTCATGGAAAAATAGAATTAAAATATAATATAAATCTTTCCATGAACTTTTTGAAGTACCCTTGTATTTGATTTCCTACCATGTGCCAGACATTGCTAGGAGCTGGGGAGAGTTCAGCAAAAGAGATATCAGATCTGTCCCCAGGGAGCATACAGTTTGTGCCTCACATGGCTGGAGTGCAGCATGAATGAGGTGGGGATGTACCTTGTACCTGGACAGTTGCCTGGGGCTAGTTCCTGAATGGCTTTGTGTGCCAGGCTAGGAAACCAAATTAAATCAGGACTGGGAAGCAGGCAGAAAGGCTGCCAGGGCAGAACAAGTCAATGGGGCCAGTCATTATGCCAAGGTCTCTATCCTATCCTGCACAGGGTCTCCTCTCCTCAGTGACTTGGGGCCACACTCACCTATGGGCACGATAATCCCAATAACAGCAGCAGTGACTGTTGAACCCATCTTGCCACCTTCATTCCCATCTGCAAAACAAACATTTGCAGAATGATGCTCCATCATGGTGAGCCCAAACCCTTACTGGCCTCAAGCAGTAAGAATTAACTTCCCAACTGTTTCTCACCTCCATTCCAAATGACGATCCTGGCTACAGCTTAATAATCCAGTATTTCTAAATCCTATCAAAACTACTGCGAAGCAAGCAGGACAGAGATTATCTCCATTTCCCAGAGGGAGAAACTGAGTCTTATTGAGGGTTTTGGGGGCTCACAGATAAGTGGCAGAGCTGGGACTTGAACCCAGGACTCATGACGCAAGCCCCATCCTCTCCCCAGAGCATCATGGTGGTAGGAAACCAGGGGCTACACATGTTGGAGTGAACACTTAGGTCTTCATGTTGCTGACTTACTGGGTCAATTGCCTTTTTTCAGCTAGTATCTGTTGCTTTGTCCCTGTTGTTTTGGTGGTCTGTCCATCTGCATTATCAATTTATTTTTCATAAGTAATTAAAATGGGACATAGTGTAATATATAGGAGGTCATACTTCTTAGGTTCAAATCCTTGCTCTACTACTCACTACTTGTGTGACCTTGGGCGAGTTATTATATATCATAGATATAACGGCTGGCCAGTTAGCTCAGTTGGTTAGAGCACAGTGTTGATATTATAGATATAACATGTTATGTTTCTTTATCTTTAAAATGGGGATAATGATATTACCTACCTCCCAGGGATATGGTAAGGATTAAATGAGAAAATTCATATGAAATGCTTAGCACAGCACCTGCCTGGCACAGCCTTGCCTAATTCAAAGAGGGCAGAAAGTGGTAGGAGTTGTTGTGAGGCCTAAATCAAAAAAGGTATGTAAAAGCACATTCTACACTGAAAAGTGCTTGGAAAATGTACTGTATTTTTTAAAAAGTATGCTGTACTATCTTTCTCAATCTTACAACCATCTTCATTATGATATTTGCATGGCCCTTATAAGTTTAAAAAGCATCTTTCGCTTGGATCCTCATGACAGCCCTCTGAGGCAGGAAGAGGGTCTCTCCTGCATTTACTCCACGTGAGGAGATGACTGCCCTCTGGCAATGACCCAAATCCCATCCTCTCAGTGTGTCTGTTTCTCCAAGTAACTCCAAGGGAACCTAACTATTAAGTGGAGAAAAGAGCTGCACTGCTTACAAAGCTAACTGGAAATGCTGCTGTCCTCTCGTTCCAGGGACCGAACAAACACTGGACAGCAATATTAAAACCTAGAGAACGATGAAGCCAGTAGGGAGAGGCTGGTCAGAGGCTCTGCCCCAGATGAGAGGAACTAAAATTCACATATGTCCTCTCCAAACTTCAGGGGGTGTGCTCAACTCTGAAAATCCCACTTCTGCCTGCAAAATGGGCCCAGTTAGAAAGGTGCTGCCAAGCTGCTTGGTTTCCGGGCCATTCATGCACAGAAAAAAATTTAAAAAATAGTTTATCCTTTTAAATGAACTCCTCCTGGCAGGTAACTCAATTAATAAGGTATTTGCCGGTTAATGAAATAGAACATTTCTATCAGTGACAATTACTGCTCCCAATGATTTAGTAAGTGGTAAACTTAATTATTTTTATCCCAGGGATAGGAAAGAGGCATGAGAAGACCGTGCTTCCCAAGGCTGCTGGGAACTGAGATCAGAGCTTTCCAAACCTGAGGGGCACCCTCTCATACACGTCAGTAACTCATGAAACACAGACACACACACACCCAGGGTCAGCAGAAGCTGTGTGCGAGCACTTCCTTTTACACTGCCTCTTTTGTCTCTTGTGGCAATCTTTGAAGCAGGTAGGGGAAGGTTTATTATTATTTTCACTATGTAGGAGAGGAAAATGAGGCTCAGAGATAGGATACAGCTTCCCCCCAGACCCTCTGCAAGTTAGAGGCACCTAAGACTCCTAAATCACAGGCTGGCATTTGACCTCCTCTGCTTCCTCCTCAGGGTTATACATTTTTCAGCTCTGGTATAATCTTCTCTTCCTACATATCCCCCATTCTGGCTTCCCTAGGACCCCTCCCATGTCATTAAAGAATGCAGAACTCATTGCCTTACAGCGCTGGGAGTGGTTGCTGGTTGCAGGGTTTGGAGTAGACGTGCTGATGCTGGGAGCTCCGGGGACACTAACTGAGCTTGGGACTGCAGCTGCCAGGCTCGGTGTCTCTGCACTGTGGTTCTGGTAGGTGGGGCTGTGAACGGTGGTCCCAGGGGTTCTTGTGGTGGCGGCTACTGTCCTCGTCGTGGTAGAGGCTAACGTCGTAGTTGAGGTAGATTGAGGTGCTGGAGGGGAAATACTGTGGAAGTCACTTGGACACAGAATATTGTTGCTTTAGTGACTAAGTTATTGCCTCCATAAGTTATACATAGGAACTCATCCTCTGGCTTAGCTCAAATGCCACTTCTTTGAACCCTTCTCTAATCTCCCAAATGGGCTTTGATTTTTCTTTAACTAGATTTCTTTAGAATTTCACTTTGATTGGATAAAGATGAGTCTTTAGAACAGTGTTGTTGAATTAGGTGTGGGCAAGACCACTGTAAAAGACGGGGGGGAGGGAAATCATATAAATCTAGAAGGATTTTATACCTACATTGTTAACACCACTAAGTTTAAATTCTTACTCCACTTTAAATAATTAGACCGGGAAATCGTAAATGATGCAGTAGACTTATGCTCAAACAAAAGGCCTTGGCCATACATTAAGATTGGGAAGTGAATATAATTTATGTAATGGAAATACTCACTAGGTATTAGCTCCAATGATATTGCAAAAGGGCTTCTATGTAGTGTGTTAAGTTTTAGGTGAGAATAGGCAAGCATATAGTCATCTGCATACAAATAGTAACTGAAGCCATGGAGATCAAGGGTTCTTAACTTGATGAGGTTTTCAGGGGGTTCCAGAAACTACCTGAAACTGAATTTAAAATGTTTTATGTATATGTAAATTTTGGGGGGCTAAGAGAAAGCCTTGCAAGGACCCTCAGGACATAAGCATTCAAGGAAAGTGAAAAAGAGGAGCCTCCAAACGAAACAAGTAGCCAGAGAAGATGGAGGAAAACTAGGAGCATATTGTTTCCCAGAAGCCAAGGGAAGATTTCAGCAGGGTGGGATCTGACATTGCCAAGGTCACCCCTCCTGGAAGTTCTTCTTACCTCGATAGCATCTCTTCATGTCTGGGCCCAGCCACATTGTGTCAGGACAGGCACAGGTGTACTTGGGAGAGTGGCTGGAGATCTGAGGAGCAGGAAGGCACAGGTACTCACAGCCTCCATTGGGCTGGGCACTCAGATCACAGGCATCTGCAGCTAAGGGCAGAGAGACAGGGCACATACAGGATATGCCAGGTCTTACTGCCTCCTGAGGATGAGGCCCCTCCCACTTGGCTTGCTCAAAAAGCTGTCCCATGGGGCTGGCCGGTTAGCTTAGTTCGAGCGCAGTACTAACACCAAACACCAAGGTCAAAGGTAGGGATCCCCATGCCAACCAGCCACCAAAAAAAAACCCCCAAAAAACCTTCCCTACTACTTTTATTGGACACCTTACAGCACTGTACCTGGTGTTTTATCCCCACACTCATTTAATCCTTACAACAATTCTGAGAGGTGGGTGTTATGTCCCAGATTGACAGACAAAGACACCTAGGCTCAAAGAGAACAAATTTGTTAAAGCTATATATACCTCTAGGAATTTTGGACACAGAATTTAAATTGAGGTCTGTTGGACTCCAAAGGCCATGTTTGGTTTGGTTTTGTTTTTCTCCTATGCCACATACCATGTCTCTCTGTTATTTAAATTTCTAGATCTAGAATCAGGCACCAATCTTATCTCCTTACCCTCTCTTGCTTTCCTCCTGACAGCCAACATCTCAGTTACAGTCAGAATTAGTACATCCTAGTGATGGAGGAGGGACAACCTAGTAGTGGGATTCTTGGAATCTATTCCCAATGAAGAAGCTGACTTACCATATGAACCTAAACTACTGCAAAATGGGCACGAATAGCAAATGAGAAGCAATGTGTCATGGTGGAAGGAGCTTTGGAATCAGACCTGAGTTTAGGTTTTAGTTCTGCCACCTGCTAACGTTATTTTACCTCTCTGGGCTTCATTTTCCTCAACTGTTAAATGAGAAGAGTGATACTCATACTTTTTAGGATTGGCAAAAATAGGACATTGATATATTAATTTATACCCATCCTTAATTCACAATAACTTGAGGAAAAATGAGACAAAATATATGATGACAGAGCATTCTACTGATAAGAGGGATTGTTGTTGTTATTCCTGGGGGTGCTGAGTCATGACATGAATGTGAACATAGCCTGCCTAGTAGAGGGAGGGGACACAGGCAGGGGATCTGGGACCTGGGACCAGGGATGGCTCACCTCTTGGCTGCTTCAGCTCATGGAAGATGACAATGTCATGTGGATTATTGAGGTTCTCAGCCAGGATGGAGATTTCCAGGCCATTGAGCCGATTTGCACTGAAAATGGCCTCATTCTCCAGGTCTGTCCAGAATACCCTGTCCTGTGGGATACAGATGCAGAGAATGGGAGGCCTACAGTCTAAACCTATCACCTCAATCTGAGGGCTCAGCCCTAAACCATAGTCACATCTCCCCTGAGCTATCCTGTCCACGGATTCACAGTGGGACTTTCAGCCTCTGATCTTTGATGTACACTCTCCTGGTTCCCTTCTGTCTTAGAGGATTGTTCAGTGATTCGGTACTTTGGCTTGAAGGCCACAAAGCTACTCATTAATGCTGAGCTAGTCCTGCTTCCCAGAGGCCACCAGAAACCCAAGCTTATTCTCGATAGCTATGACCATTATCGGGGCCTGGGACCAAGATTGGAGATGTGTGAGCTACTGAGGGCTATCCATTGCTAGGTCTCCTACAGCCTCTGTGTATATACACATATGAATCCACATGGTTATTTCATACAAGCCTAGACATGCATCTCTAGGAAAATCCATAGGTACAACCATGCATCCTCATACCCACATCTAGACACATACCCAAATGCTCATCTATACACATAAAGGCACACTTGGACCTAAATAAGCACTTGTCTAAATACTGGTATACATACTTATACTCACAAGCATCAGCACATATAGGAATGCACACTTTTGCCCTGATGCATTTATATAACGCATGCATATACACATACTTTACATGTACATGCCACGTATATGCACATGCACATACACGTATCTGAACACACCTGTCTTTTGAAGTAGGGGCTGGACATGGAGGTGGAGCTTTGCCCACAATTTCAAAGCAGTGCTGAGTGATGTTGTTCCAAGCAAATACTGCCAATGCCCACCACAGACTACTGTCCCCTTGCTTTCCCTCCCCTTGATGGCAGAGTTAGTTTGGGGAAGAGGTTGGTGTGTGAGACCTTGGTTGGTTCTGGCTTCCTCAGTCCCCAAGGAGAAAGGTTGTTAGGGTCAGGGCAAAGGAATGTCTGGACTCCCCACTTTGCTGGGAGTTTCTTGAGGACTAGGATAGTGTCTGATTCACTTCTACGACCCTAGGGTTTGGCAAAGGTGCTAAACTGAATAGCATCTCTCAGGCCATTTCCTATAGTAAATGATTCTAAGGAAATGATATTCCTTCTTCCCTTCCTTTTTACTGGGTACCTTCTGTATGTGTGGTACCGTGCTGGGTGCCGAGGGTACAGAGAGGGAACGTACATGTCTAGCAACTCACCTATGAGAAGTGCTCTGAGAGAGAGATCTTGGGAAAGGGGCACAGGAAAGGCTGCCAGGTAGACAATGGGCTATAAAGGCTTTGTATGCACGCAGCTCACAAATTGTGTACAAACATGTCAATTGGCTTCCCTGTTCCTTTGCTTCCATTTAGACAAGTCTCAGGGAGTTGTCCTATTTGAACAAGGTTTTTCTAGGCTTCAGCTTCCTGATGGGACCATGCCTCCCCTCACAGGGCTCACCTCAAACACAGCTATCCCAAAAGGGTGGCTCAGGAAGTCAGTGGAGGAAATCAGCATTTTTCTGTTGCCCCCACTGAAGTCAATGCTGGACAGCTGGTGCAGCTTGGAGTCTACCCAGTACAAGCGCTGGTTCAGCAAATCTTGGGGAAGAAGTAGGGAAGGAGAGATCAGATTATGAATCTGGGACCCAAGCCTGGATATCTGTTCTCTGTACCCCACCCCCACCCCACCCCCATTTCCAGGCCTTAGATTGAAGCCAGCCTACGGTAATCATCCGGAAACAAAGGCAATGGCCTTTGAGGGGACCATGAGGGGACCCAGAAGCAAGAGGCATGGAGCTCAAGACAGTGGTCAGGATCAGATGCTAGAATAGGCTCCCAATCCATGGAAGGCAGGGCTCACCCAGGGTGATTCCATTGGGCCATTCAATATTGTCTGATACCAGTGTTTGCCGGTCCACACCATTGAGCCCAGACTTCTCGATCTTGGCCTGGTACCCCCAGTCAGACCAATACATGAACCTGAAAGAAAGAATAATCCAGTCTGGCTTCTTGTTGGGCACATAACTGGGGTGGTCAGAGTCACAAGGGCTCAAGCCCAGACTTCTCGATCTTGGCCTGGTACCCCCAGTCAGACCAATACATGAACCTGAAAGACAGAATAATCCAGTCTGGCTTCTTGTTGGGCACATAACTGGGGTGGTCAGAGTCACAAGGGCTCAATGGACCACTGAAGAGTTGAAGATTATTATTAGTAGAGAATGGGAAGACCTCTGAAATCCTCTGGAACCACCAAATCTTAGAATTCGCAGGAACTGTAGCCTTCACCTCGTTTGAGAACCTGGGGAAGCCTGTATTCCTGAGTCTACCCAGCCTCAGCTGAACAGCTTGTGAGAAAATCTCTCCCACTTCTGGCAGCTTTAACTAGAGCTCTAGAGCATCAGTGTGGGAAGGGTCCTTGTAAACTCTCTCTTTCCAGATTTACAAAGGAGAAAGTGGGTGACCTTCCCATCTTAGGTAACCTTCCCTGCTCCTGTCCCCTTGGGCCTACTAGGGCTGGTAGTAGCCCACTATTGCTAATTCAAGATAGTGCATTAGATCTTACCCCCTCCTTTGTAAATAGTCCCTTTATTAAACCCTCCTCCAATTATCTTCATTTGAGTGTGCAGTGGGTTTTCTTCTGGGACCCTGACAGATCCACAATGGATTAGGGCTAGGCTGAGTATAACTGTGCAGTTTGGGGGACAGGATATGGCAGGTGCAGATCTGTGTGAGGACAGACAGGGAAGAGGGTTGAAGTGAGGGTTAAATGAGATGGCTCAGTATCTGTCAGTGCCTGGTACTGTGCTGGGAGCACCTGATGTGTGCTCAGTAAATGGCAGTTGTCAGTTTGAAGGCTCACATGCCCTCTAATGTTCCCCGCCCCAGCAAAGCTACCCCCACTGGAAGAAGAGGGTTTTTTTTTTTATCCTGGTTTAATAATTAAGGAAACAGCAGTAGGAAGAAGCTCACAATACTGGTAAACTTGATATGATACAGCTGTTAAAAAACTGATGCCATCTCAGGACATCCCCACCAGGGGAGGGAGGAGTCCTGTTCTGTGCAGAATCCCTAACTCCCAAAACTGAGGGCAGCCTAGGTGGTGAAGAGCCCAGAGACTGTGGGCAATGGCAGTGGGGATGAAGGGGGGCTGCTGGGAGCAGAGCAGGCCCAGTGATCTTGGTCTTCCAATCTTGCTGGTTGTCCTGCAGGGCAGGGGATAGACATGTCTTATATAACTCCAGAGGCCAATGGAGGAAGTTATAGGGAGGCAGTTTTGGGATTATGAGGTTAAAAAAAACCCCACCTTCTAATAGGCAGAGCTGCCCCCAATGAAACAAGCCCTACAGGAAGTAATGAGCTCCCTGTCCCTAAAAGCGCATGAGCAGCTGCCAGATGGCCACCTGCAGCAGCCTGAAGAAAGGCTTCCAGCCCGAGGAGCTCCTAACAGGCCATCTCCAGAGCCCTACTCTGCTCTGAGATGCTCTGATTCTACGAAATAATGAGTTAGCAGGAGAACGCCGGTGACCAGTGCCCAAAGAACCCTTGGCTGGGGATTAACAGGATGAGAGGAGTACACAGACTTTCTTTCCTATGGCCTGTGTCTGAATGGCCCAGAGTCTTTGAGAGCCCTCAAGATATCTTTTGACAGATACCTGAGGACTGAGTTCCCATGGTGAGAGAATGGGAAGTTCAGGGTGGGGACACTCACCCTTGCAGGGGGTCGACAGCGATGGCCCGGGGTTCACTGAGGTCATGGCTAAAGAGAGTACATCGGCGGCCGCCATCGACTGTGGCCACTGAGATGGTCTTATTGCCTGAGTCGGTCCAGTAGATGTGCTTGTGGACCCAGTCCACTGCCAGGCCCTCTGGAGAGTGCAGCTGCTCGTCAATGAGGACCTTCTGCTCTGCCGGATTGCTGGCCTTGTCCATGTAGGCACTTAGGAGAAACCAGAGATGGCTGTGAGGCAGATGTTCCACCCATGGGCCTATCTGGAGCTGCCTGTGCACCCTTCCCCTTCTCTTCCCTCTGGGCCATGCCAATGGATTTTAGAGGAACTTGGCCAACTTCTATTCAACACATTCCCCGGGCCACCAGGGTAGGAATACAGGCTTGAATCATCCGCAGTCTCTGGCCTAGCACTCAGTTTAGTGGAGGACAGAAACTTGCAGCCAGATTTAATGCAGTGTGATTACGGAAAGCATTAGAGGCTATGGCAGCAGAAAAATGGAGACTGCATCATCCTGGAAAGTGGGAGAAGGCTTTGTAGTTGAGTCCTGAAGGACTAGTTCACTGGGAACACAAAGGACAGAAAGCCAACTGGGCAAAGGGCATGTGCAAATGCCCAGAGTTGAGCATGTCCTGGAATAGCGAGATGTTCAGTGGGGTAAAGCTGGGTATGTGGGACTTAAACTTGAATTAAGTGTAGGCAAGGACCACATCCTGATCACAAAGGACAGAAAGCCAACTGGGCAAAGGGCATGTGCAAATGCCCAGAGTTGAGCATGTCTTGGAATAGTGAGATGTTCAGTGGGGTAAAGCTGGGTATGTGGGACTTAAACTTGAATTAAGTGTAGGCAAGGACCACATCCTGATAGGCTCTGAGTGCCATGCTAAGGAATTAGGATTTTATCCTGGGGCAAGTGCGGGTGGTAACTGAACCAGTCAGAAGACATGGTCAGATAGGCACATTAGATCACTATGGCACCTATGGAATGGATGGACTGGAAGGGAAGTGAAAGAGGGCAGGGAAACTGGTTAGGAGGCTGTTATAGCATCCAGGTGAGAGATGAAGAGGGTTTGAAGAAGGGTTGTACTAGTGAGAATGGAGAGAAGGGGCTGATAATACAGTAGACACTCAGGAGGTAATATTAACAGGACTTCATTTCCCAAATGCTGTTTTTCCCAAGGTTCTCTTCTCCCCCGAACCCTCTCTCTAGGAGATCAGTTCCATGGTGCCCACTGTCATCCACAACTCTGCCTCTCCAAACTCAACAACTCTTTAAGTTCCCAACTGCAAAGCCAACAGGCTCCCTCAGCATGTCCTATGGATACCTTGACTCAACATGTCCAAAACTGCTCATCCCCATTCCCCTTCCCTCAGCCAGACAGACAGTCTGCCCAATCCCTGATCCTCCTCCAGTGCTTTCCATCTCAGAGAACAGCTCCACTGTTCTTGAAACTTCCCAAGCCAAAAAACTGAAACTCCCAAAATTAACCTTGGAGTTACTTCTGACTCTTCCTATTTCAGCCCCATATCCAGTGTGTCAAATCATGCTTCTTTCAGTCACAACTACTGGACAGGCACTGATCTAGCTCTGTTTCTGGGTATGTAACTATAAACCAAGTGTATCTAGGTGTTGGGGAAAGATAGGAATCTAGTTGTCAGTGAGTAAAATTCGGCATATTAGCTTCCATCCACCCATCCATCCCATCATTATTTCAACAGTGACTTAGTGTCTGCCCATTGCCCAGTCATTGGCAGTCTTGCCAAGTGAATCTCAGGACAGAGAGAGGACATGACTGCCCAAAGGGGGCTCAGACATGCAGGGAAGCAGGCTGGTGGCACCTGAGAAAGACTTAGGAGAGAACCTCCTCAAGTGCCAAATGTCCACTGATTGTGGCATCACAGACTCAGTGAAGGGCTGGCTTGGGTGTAGTGCCATCCAGGAAGATTTCCCAGATGCCCAGATTGGGTCAGAGGCCTCCTCTGTACTTTCCCCTCATGATCATCACAATGGATGTCACTGTGTTATGAGTGGGATCTTCTAGGTGAAGACCAGGTCTAAGTCATCTTTGAGGCCCCACGTTCTGACACAGACATGTGAGCTGCTTTGAAAGTCCTCATTAAAGCCAGGGATTTCTTCCTTTCCACCCTGGCTGAACATTGCCTGACTTGCACTTCCCCACTGGGCCACCAGAGGTCAGACAAAGCCCAGGTGTGGGGGCTCAAAGCCGCTCTTCCAACAGAGCTCTCAGCTCAGGCCGGCCCAGAGGGTGGCGAAGGCCTAGTGGTTCCATATCCACTGTGATCCTGTATCCCTTCCCAAGCTCTAACACTGTCCTGAGAAATCCTAGAGGCAGAGGCCACCCTTCCTCTGCTCCTCTGTCAGCCTCCCTTCCCCCAGTTCCTCCAGGCCTGGCTTCAGGGAACATGCCACTCACGTATAGATCTTGCGGTAGGAGAGGTCACACCAGTATATGCGATTGGTGGCAACTTCGACGTCTAGCGCCACAACATTCTTAAGCATGGGGATAAGGCGCGAGTAGTCCCTCTTCACCAGGTCTATCCTCCGCACCTCGTGCCGGTTGGTAAAGATTAGGGACGGGCTCTTGCCAGCTGCCATGCAGGGAGGTTGAGACAGACAGAGTCAGTGCAGGAGGCAGGGAGTCTGGACACAAAGACTCTGCCACTGGTTTGCTGGCTCACCCCTCAATTCCCTGTAAAATAGGGGTGATAATCCCTACTTCACAGGTTAGAGGAGCAGATGAAATAATGAGTGCAAAAAGCATAAGATGTAAAGCACCACATGTAACAGAAAGATTCTTATCCTATTAGATACAAACTCCCCCAAAATCTTTTACAACTCCCCATTTCCTCCTTAGGCCTGCACTGAAGGTCTTCCACAGAGTGACCACAAGTTCCCTGTCCAGCCTTATCACTCGCCCCCTAACATAAGTTGATTCCAACTATCAGACTGTCACTACCTAGCCATGGCAGGACTGTGCTGCCTTGGGGCCTTTGCTCGAGTCTTCCCCTCCACTTAGAATGCATTTCTTCCCAGCAACTCCCACCTTTGCTTGGGGTCCCACTGCCATAGTTCAACAAGAGGCCACCTGAGCAAGTAAGTGTCTTAGAAAGATGACTCAGTGTAGAGGACAGACATCAGGGCTGAGACTTGAGGAGATCCTCAAGGAGGTTATTGTGAGTCTTTGGTTAATGCAAAGTGTGGGGACATGACAAGAAGTGAAGCTGCAGAGATTGGCAGAGGCCAGATCATGAAGGGTCCTGTGAGCTGGGTAAAGAGTTTGTTCTTTGTCCTGAGCCAATGGCAGAGATGGGATATATGTGATAATAGGACACTGATTATATATATGCCGTGGAGACAACACACAACTGCCCACATATATGCAAAACCCATTTTTAGACTTAGGGTTAGATTTGAGGAAGATCACCAGTGACCTTGACACTCCTGGCTATTCCATAGGGAAGGTCACTGTCCCACAGGTCTATGAGAGCCTAGCACCAGCTGCCCCAGGCTGCTTTTTTAAAGGTATGGGGCCACTCTCATACCTTTAAAAAAGAAGGCACCAACACTGTCTGAGTGGCAGCTCTTAGCAACACCTGGAACTGCCTGTGCCTTCTCCCTCTCTTGCCTCTGTGCCTCTCACTGTGCATCTGTGTTCCCTGGGGACAGGATGGGACCAGCCTAGGGCTGGATGTGTGACCTGTGTGTAGTGACAGACTAATTCAAAGCAGGGCAGGGATGAGAGGGAGGGTGTGGTACAAATAGAGAGCACAGAAAATAGGGCCTGAAGTGTAGCAAGGGGCAAGGAGGAAAGCTGGGTTCTAGGCCCAGTTCTGCCACTGACAAACTGTGATTTTCCTCACCCCAAAATGTGAGCAATGAATGATACTTCACCTCCCTGAAGGCAGGAGCTGGGGTAGAGGACATCTTGAGGTGATTTCTAATGAGAGTTATGATGGTAACAGGGACCCTGTGTGCTTATGATTTGAGTTTTTGAGTAACTGCACTTTAGGTATTCATATGTGTGGATTTTGTGTATATATGGGTAGTTGTTTGTTGTCTCCACTGCACGTATATAATCTGCATCGTATGTTACATGTGTCCTGTGTGGGGGTAAGAACAGGTTACATGTCACGTGATGTGCTAATGTATGTGTATATTGTACAGTTTGGGTGTTGTGTTTTTTGGGTTTATGGGTTACATGTCAAATATTGTGGCTGCTGTGTTGTTACAATCTATATGTTGTGTATTGCACGAGGGTACTTCGAAAAGTTCATGGAAAAATAGAATTAAAAGCACGAATCCTTCCATGAACCTTTCAAAGCACTTTTGTATTTGTGTATATGAACTCCAGGCTTATATACCGATTACCTCTGCTTGGATATCTAAACAGTTTTCTTAAACTTAACATGCCCAAAACAGTTTAATATTGCCCTAAATCTGCTTCTCTCACTATCTTTCCTAAGACCATAAACAGCAATCCTATTTCTTCAGTTCCTTGGCCAAAAACCTTAGAGTCGTCTTTGACTCTTTTTCTCTCACATCCCACATTTTTTTGTGTGTGTGTGACCGGTAAGGGGATCGTAATCCTTGGCTTGGTGTCGCCCGCACCACGCTCAGCCAGTGAGCGCACCGGCCATCCCTATATAGGATCCGAACCCGCAGCCTCGGCACTCCCAGCGCCGCACTCTCCCGAGTGAGCAACAGGGTTGGCCCCCACATTTAATTCATAAGCAAATCCTGTTGGCTGACCTTCAAAATATATCCACAGTCTATCTACTTCTCACTGTTCCCACTGCATCCACCCTGGTTCAAGCCACCATCTCCTGTCTTTGTATTAGTGCAACAACCTCTTAAGTGGTTTCCCTGATTCCTTCTTTGCTCTCTGTAGCCAGAGGGATCCTGTTAACATGTCACATCACATCCCTCCTCTACTCAAAACTCAGTGGCTTCCCTCCGACTTAGAGTGAAACCCAGAGTCAGCCCAAATAATAGTCCAGAAAGACCTTTGAGATCTGCCCTGAGTCACCTGTCTGACTTTTTCTTGTCCTAGTCTCCTTGCTCCAAATGAACCTTCTTCCTTGCTATTCCTTGAATACACTGGGCATACTCCTACCTGAGAGCTTTTGTACCTTTTGTTCCTTCAGCCTGAAATGTTGTTGCACATAACTGCATGGCTCACTCCCTCACTTCCTCTAGGTCTTTACTCAAGTGTCACCTTCTCAGTGAGGGCTTCCCTGACCATACTATTTAAAACTCTAACTCTCTGTCCTCCTGACTTTCCTATCCCCATTCTCTACTTCATATTTCTCCTTAGCCCTTATTGCCATCTGCCATGCACTCTATTTTATTTATTTCTCTGATTTCTTGTCTGTCTCACCCATTAGAATGTTAAGTCCTGGGGCCGGCCCGGTGGCGCACTGGATAGTGCGCCGCTTGGGAAGCGCGGCGGCGCTCCCATCCGAGGGTTCGGATCCCACATACAGACCGGCTCCCGCTCACTGGCTGAGCGAGACGCGGGAGCAACACCGAGGCTTGCACTCCCGTTGCCGGTCCCCGGTCCGGTATGGGGGCAACACTGAGGGTTGCGATCCGTTGCCGGACACGGAAAAAAAAAAAAAAAAAAAAAAAAAAAAAAAAAAAAAAGAATGTAAGTCCTGAGAGGGCAGACAGGGATTTGTGTCTGTTTCCCATACTGCTGAATCCCCAGCACCTGTAACAATGTCAGGTGTTCAATATAGGAATTGAATAAAATGAATTAATTCAATTGTTTGAATTGATCAATGCGTAAGTCTGCCCATGTCACGCTCTTTGTGTGGGCTGCCTATGCTTTGTGTAGTGGGTGGCTCTATGTAGTGTCCGTGTGGGTGTTAACATGCAGTGTGTTGTATGTGAGATGTACAAGGGTACTTCAAAAAGTTCATGGGAAGACTCGTATTATCTGTCAGTGCTATTTTTCCACGAATGTTTTGAAGTGCCCTCTCATATGTTTACACTTTGAACAGTGTGTGTGCAGATTTCTATGTCTGCATACTCATGTGCACATCCGCTCCTCACATATGTGGAAGCATACTGCTTCCTGTACTCCCTCAGGGATGTCCCCTGCCCTTGGCATATCCATACCGACAGCCTTGCAGTTCTTGGTCAGTGTGTCCATCTCATAGCCAGGGTGGCACTCGCACTTAAAGTAGCCCTTGTAATTGACACAGATCTGGCTGCAGGCATCTGGGTCTGCACACTCGTCAATGTCTGTGGGGAGAAGCAGGGGTCAGAACTGGCAGGAGAATCTGCCTCTGCCTGGGGACTAGGAGGAGTTCTCACCGCCACAGGTCTTCTGGTCCAGGAGCTGGAAGCCAGCTGGGCACGTGCACTCAAAGCCGATCTTGAGGTCAGTGCAGATGTGAGAACAGCCACCATTGTTGTACAGACACTCGTTCAGTCCTGGGGAGGGACAAAGGCTCTTGAGGGTCCAGAAGCCCAGAAGAGGTGGGGGGTAGGGCAGGGGTGGGGCCTAGAGCAGAAGCAGAGCCTAAGAGCATTGGGACCCCTATAGAGCCAGGAGGGTTCTGCGACTTCATTGAGTTAGGCCTCATTAACCAGGTGTTGGGGCAAAAGGAGGTTCAGAGAAAGCCGGCCCTTACTCAAGGCCAGACATAGAGACAGGGACAGAGTGGAACTAGAACTCAGGTCCTTGACTTCCCAGGCCAGGGCTCTGTCCACCACCAGGCTAGAGGCAGCTAGGCCTTCCCTGGTGGCCTAAGGTCTTTCCTTTCACAAACACCTTTCTTATAGTTTCTTCCTCATGACCTCAGAGTTGAATGGACTTATATGTATCATGTCCAACCCTCAAAATATCCCGAGTCCCTTCTGAAATGCCTCTGCTTAAGCATTTCCAGCCTCAGGGAGCCCACTTCCCTCCTAAAGCACCACTTTGGAATAGCACTGCCTGTTTTGTTGTTGTTGTTTGGTTGGGGTTTTTTTGGTGCCTGGCCAGCAAGGGGATCCGAACCCTTGACCTTGGTGTTATAACACTGTGCCGTAACCAACTATGCTAACTGGCCAGCCTGCACTGCCTGTTATGAATCTCTTCCTCGGGATGTGCCCCCCGTAGCTTCTGCTCCTGCTGCCAGCTCTGCTGAGGGGGGTCGACCAGGGTGCACAGGCTCCCTCAGGACCCCCTTAAAGTGCTAATTTCTGGTCTCCTGCCATTCAGATGCTTTTCTCTGGACAAACTCCATCTGTGCATGTCCCTCTCTGGACAGGATCCAGACCTAGTCTGCCACCCAGAAGGAGATTGAACAACACAGGATGGCCCTACTGTGCTTGTGGCTCTTTAAGACTCCTGGGCCTTTTTCTACACTGAGCTATTGCTAAGTCAATTCTCTCCTACCATGAACTAATATTTCTTTTCAACTTCTCTCCTCTCAGCACCTGTCCCTGTGCCTCCACCTCATCATGGGCCTGGTCCCAGGATTACCAACTTCTGCAAAGGATAAAAAGATGCCAGGAGGTCACCTGGTTCTGGTTCCCCCATCCTCCACTCCCTCACCACCTTCTGGAAGGGTCCTAGGGGAAGTCAGGGAGTCCAGGACCAAGGTTCACCAAGGCTCACAGCATATCCTGAGCTTTAGAATCACAGAAGGTTAATTCCACAAGCTATAAGACGGTGCCATGCCACCCCTTTGCCCACCAGGCTCATGCACCACCACTCCAGCCAAGCTGAGCCAAGCTGAGCTGAGCCAGTCATGGCCATGCATAAAGCCAGTCTGAGCTACCCACGCCAGGCCATGCACAGCTATGGGGTGCCCCCACCTCCAACCTGAGCCATGCTTAGGAAATATCCCCTTTACCCCTGGGCCTTCTCCTGTTTCCCTGGAATGTTGGCGGAACTGAAAGAACAAGACCACAGCAACCCCATGACTGGGGGGTCTAGGAGTGACTCGACCAGGTCCAGCCCTGGGAATCCCCAGATTCTTGGGGTGGGCTGAGTCATGGTGGCTTTGGAGTAGTCTCTGGTAGTGCCACCTCCGGGAATCTTTCTGTCACTCCTAGCCCTCCCTGACCTCTCCTGTACTATATTATTCCCTGAGCACCGTCTATTCATTTGTTCTTCCATTCACTCACTTCCTCATTCATGCACCCACTCACTTCCTTCCTCTCCTTTTGCAGGTAGCAGCAACTCAACAATTCTATTTACTGAGCACTTGGTGGAGTGGCATGTGTGGAAGGGCTCTCAAAGGGGAAAAGGGAGAGCTCAAAGTGACTCTGGCTTCTGTTGAAAGAAGAAAGCAGAGTCCTCCAGGGCTGACATGGGTCATGGGAAGAGAAAGGACAGCAGGTGCAGATCGTCTATCCCTGTCAACCCTTCCCTGGAAGCCTGAAGGGAAATCTCTGGTCCTTCCTAATTCCATCTAGCCTAGTGGTGATTCCACTGGGGAGCAGGGAGAGGAAGGGAGGGGGTAGAATGCTCCAGACAGGACTGAGTCGCATTTGAGCCTTTGTTCCATGGAAAGGAGCAGTGTCACTTTCCCCAGCATGTGCACACACTTGCATGTACACACCTGCATGCACACACCTGCATGCACACACACACTTGTGTATAGAGGCACAGAAGGCCCACAGACTCCACAAACACATTCACACAGACGTAGGGACACGCAGAGATACGTGAATGCAACTCCCCTGCCTTACTCAGAGAAGCAGACACGGATACAGACAGACTGGCCTCTCACCAACATAGTCAGAAAGGACACACACAAACACGTGCGTACATATTTCTCGTTGGCATGTCATGCAGAAAACGAGAGTGAAGAGAAAGTTTAGTAGGTTAGTAGTCCCTAGCTAACTCCAAATCTGGGTGTATGGGGGTACCCAGGCTCAGTTGCTCCTGTTTCCCTGTCCCCTTTTCCACTGGTTCCTTCTTCTGGGACTTCTCTTGGAAGGACCTGGGGGTGGTGGGAGTGTCTGTCTCCCGTGAGCTCAGGTAGAGGCTGAGTGACCTTCACTTGGCTACTCTTTCTTTCACAATCGGTTCTTTTTTAACCTTCAAAAGGGGAGGCAACATGCTGTTCCTGGGGAGCTCTAGAAAACAAAGCTCTTCTGAGTGCCCAGGAAGGGAGGTGCTGGGGAAAAGTCTGCCAGGAGGTGAGAGAGGTAGGGGCTGGCCTAGGCTCTGTCTTCCCAGGGCTTTTCTGTCTAAATCTTCCTTCACCCCAACCTTCTGGGATCAGCAGAGAAATGACTCATGAACCTTCCTGGAGTCCACACTGGGTTTCCAGCATGCTCTCTGGGATGCCCACCCACCTACAGCCCAGATCTCCTTTGTTCTTTCTAGCCTGGAACCCACTCTGATACTCTAGCCATCAGGACAGCTACCTCGTTCCACTCCTCACGCTAGTCCAGCCTGCAAGTCAGAGCTCCTCAATGCTTAAGGTGCTGCCACCTCCTGCCGCTGGGCCTGCCGTGCTCCCACCCAGGCCTGGTCTGAGCAATGGCTCTGTGATGTGCCTCAATTGGCTGCCCGACGGCTGTTCCCCACCTCTCCCTTTGCAGGGTCTCCTGTTGGGGGCTGGAAGGCCTCAGAGGCCAGGGCCTTGGCTAGGTCAGCAAGGCAGGAACACTGTAGAATAGAGAAAATTCCAGAGAGCACACACTCAGAGGTCTTAATGTGGAAGGACTGAGGAAGAGAGGCCAAGTTTGTGAGAGGATGCATACTTTTTGAGCCTCTGGGCTGGAAAGGAAAGGCCCTTAGAACTTTGTAGAGATGCAAAACAAGAAGCCCCAGGGTCAAAGAGCCCCATTTAAGGCCACAGGGACAACATATGAGTCTAGAGAGAGGGTTAGATCAGAAAGTATCAGAACAGAGGGGTATGCGAGGGCCTTAAGCCCAGATGCCAGGAGAGGGCCTGGCAGGAGGATTAGTCCAGCCATTGGATGTAGACAGGTACCGTACCACACTCTTTCAGAAGCTCATCCGACCAGTCCCGGCAGTCCCTTTGAGCATCACACACTTTCCCGCCGTCCACGCACTCGCCACTCTTACACTGAAATCTGCGGGGACCCTCACAAGTTGACTCTGTCGGGCCGGACAAGAGAGTGGATACTGTCTGTGAGACCCTTGGGCAGGAAGGGCTGGGTGGGGCTCAGGGCCCATAGTGGGCAAGCAGAGCTCCAGCCCCAGCCCCCGCCCCCATAGTCTTCAGAGGGTGGCCTAGGACAGACAGCTGAACCTAGGGCCTGTGAATGTTCTGCTCACAGGACAGGATCCCAGGGATCAGGATGCCAGGCCTCTTCTAGCAGGGCAGGGCCGATGGGGTCAGGCAGTATTAGGCCCCTGGGAGGGACTGTGCAGCAGCTCTAGAGAGATCTTAGAGATTGGACCAACCATCTCTTGAGAGGGACCTTTTGCCCTAGGGACTCTGGACAGGGGAGGTTGTCTTACTGTCCAACCTGTTATCCATTTCCCCAGATGATCAGTGGTTTAGGGTCCATGCTCCTGCAGGGGGAGGTGGTGACCAGAAGAGCCATCTGAGAATTAAGGGGGCTGCCCGGGGAGCAGGATTCAGACTCTGGGCAGCCTGTGAACTAGTGAGGGAAGCCACTCGGAGGTCTGGATGTAGGCAATGGTAGGAGCTGGACTTTCATGTGTCCCTAGGCCTCTTTCAGCTTTTGCAAAGTCCTTAAAAATCCAGTTCTGATGCCACTAGGACCCCATGGGAGGGAAGCCAGGTGATTTAGGGGTGAGTGATTTGGACTTTCATGTGTCCCTAGGCCTCTTTCAGCTTTTGCAAAGTCCTTAAAAATCCAGTTCTAATGCCACTAGGACCCCATGGGAGGGAAGCCAGGTGATTTAGGGGTGAGTGATTCTCTGGGGAAAAACACATCTCAGGGACCAAGGGGAAACCTCTCCCAACTCTGCTCTCTCCAGAGTCAGAAGAGAGCTCAGGGCTTTCCCTCACAGATGATGCTGCGCCCTCTGTCCTGACCATACACACCCTGCAGGCAGCCGGCTTCATCACTCTCATCTGGACAGTCCTGTTCCTGGTTGCAGCGCTTGACTGCAAGGACGCAAGTCCCATCCCCACATTGGAACTCATCCTCACGGCAGGTCCCCAGTGCTGCCAGGAGAGGGCAAGGAGAGAAGGACAGGGTCAATGTGGTGCTGGGACAGCTCTCCTCCTCCCAGCCTCCCACTCCCATGCCATATCCACCCCTGGCGAGAACAGAACCAGTGGCCACGCTTAGGAGTCCTCAAAGGATACCTGGCCAAGGCACCTCCAGTGTATAGTTGGGGAGACTGAAGCTCAGAGAGGGGGAAGGCCTTGCCCGGGGTCACACAGCACTATGGCTGGCAGAGTCAGGACTAAAACTCAGGTCTCCTGTTTCCCTGTCTATCATCTCTCCCCAGGGCCATGCCCCAGACACATAACCTTCTTTTGAGTCTTGGTGCTCTTTACTTAATGACTTCATCCACTCAGCAAACCCTTCCTGAGCCAGGTGCTGTGCTCTGGGTAGGGGTGGGGAGCCCAGAGACAACTGAGTCTCACCATCTTCTAGGAACTCAGAGTACAGAGGCAGTCTGAGGAATACACAGATGGGGACATTCCAGGGTGAGATATGTTGTAAGAGAGGACAGATGAGGGACCTGTAGTATCACAGTGGAGGGGACCCAACCCAGCTGGGACCATCAGAGGAATCTGGGCCAGGCTTTAAAGGATGAGCAGACCCAGCAGGTAGGGAGGGTGAGAGGAATTCCTCTGTATACAAGGCCTCTGGGCAGAGGAACCAGTGGGTGGGTGACAAACTGGGGAGGGCAGCGGGTGGGAGGTATGACAGGGAGGGCGACACCGCAGAGACAGGTAGCAGTGAAGACGCTTGGCTTCTGGAGTTAAACCTGAACTTGGCCGTTTAGTAGCCGTGCGACCTCAAACAAGTCGTTTCACTTCTCCCACCCTCAGCCTTCTCCGGAGTAACACGGCCACACTCAGGGTAAGGCAAAGGAAACCCGTGCGTGGCGGATCGGGAGCGGGATCCACAGTCCCTGGGCGGGGCGGGGCGGGGCGACGTGAAGGGGCTTACGGCAGTCGGCCTCGTCCGACTTGTCCTTGCAGTCGCGGTCGCCGTCGCAACGCCAGCCCAGGTGCACACACTCGCCGCTGCGGCAAGCGAACTGGGTGGCGGCGGCGCAGGCGGCGGGCGCGGCCGTG